CATGGCATCTGGTTTTACTGCCCGCAAAGCCTTCAAGATTCCCTGTTGAGCCAATAGATCTTTCACCCTGGTTTGCCACAATCCGAAGTTACCAGTTCCGTCGAACTTCACCACCTCGAATTTCGCACCAGAAAATGCCATCTTTCCGATCCACTGCAGCAGCCTCCGAGGAATATTCCTCAAAAATTCTCTTCCTTCTCTCCAGCAAGCACAAGGGAAAAAAAACGTCAAGCAAAATGAAATATTCCTTCCGTTTCCTTCTCCAGGAAAGGAAAGACAAAGAATATTCTTCTTGATTCCCTCCCTGATTCCTTTCCAATTTCCTCTTCTCAGCCGATATCCCCTTCAAAAAAAGGAATCAAATCCTCCGCTTCAGGAAATTACCAGCAAAGGAAACGGAATTTCTCCTCCGCTTTCTTGTCTAAGCCGATATCCCCTTTTCTGGCCTTCTCCCGGAACCTCCGCTCCTTTCCTTCCTGCGTCCGCCCACAGCAACCGACAATGAAAATTCCTTCTCTGATCGGGAGCCTTCAGCGCCGACTCTAGCGCCGAACCCGTCGCCACCTAAATCGGACAGCTTCGCCTCGAAACTTTGCGATCCTCCGCTCCTTTCCCGTGATTCACGATCTCTAACAGGTAGAACGGCTCCTTAACGTCACGGAAGAACTCGGTACCCGAAGCCAAATCTCTTGCCTGTCGCCGAAGGCTACTGGCAGAACTGCGATTCACCTGATCCAAGAGACAGCCGCAAAATCGCCACAAAAAATTCTTCCTTGGGCCGATAAAAAATTTTCTTCCTCCTCTCGAACCTCGCTCTGATATCACTTGTTGAGAAAATTAGGGCGAAGAAAATCTCTATAAAAAGAAACGGCGGCAAGTGCCATTGAGCTCAACAAACTTGAACAAAAACTGAACATGCCTCAATTTCAGGCAAATTCGTAGAGGTGTTTACCAAGCCTCAACCAATTTCCTCATTCATATGAGCATTTTTCTTTGGCAAAGACTAATGAAGATTGAGTGAACCTTCTCTTTTAAAATTGAAGAAGTGACTCCTGCTAAGAATAATAAGCATGTCAAGCACCTTGACCTTATTATAGCTTTAGAACTAGAATGTTGGATGGCTTTAGAACCAACAAAAATGTTTGCTTTGCCCCAAGCAAAAGATCATTAGCTTTCTCCTCGGTAGGAGAGAGCTAACTTTAACAAATGCTCTTCATTCACAAAGCTATTCAATATCCTCATATATTGTGCAAGAGTTAACGCCCCCGAAAAGAAACATTTGCTTCGCTGTAATTGCTTGATCAACATCTTCAAGTCAGAACAGACCACCCTGATTCCGAATCACAGATACCTGAAATGAAGAAAACATAAGAACCTAATTTGATTTTAACGAAACAAAAGACAGAAAGCAAGTGTCATATATCTTCTGAAAAGTCAGACAGCGATAAGGAAGTCAATTGGTTACTTCTAGCTTGATGTAGACATGAGCTCCTAGTTCAGGTTGTCAATGAAAAGCTCTATCGAGTGAAAGGATAAATTAGGTAGGATTACCCAAAAGAAGAAGCCATTTCACTGAAGACGGATGAGAGATGGAATTCATTTGATGGCATGAGGATGACGGGGAAATGCAAAATTGGGGTTGGATGCAGAGGGAAGACACAATAGGATGAGTAGTTGTGTGTTGCACACTGACGAAACAGAAGGAGCCAGGGAGTCTGGAAAGTGTTCTAAATTTCAAGCTTAACCGTATATGCACCCATTTATATGCTAATGGAAATCACCCTGATTACTAGAAGGAAAAATGAACCAAGTTGCATATAGCTATAGATTGATGACAGCAGTTTATCAACTACTTACTAATACTATGAAATAGTTAATTTTTTTTCCTTGCTGAAAGAAGCCCCAGAGGTTGAACAATTTGTGAATATAAACAAATGGATAATGATATGGAAGATATTTAGAATCCATTTGTATCATATGTACATGATGTTGATGAAAAATTTCTTTGTGCAGTTAAATACTATAAAATGCCCAGTTTTTTATAACAAAGGTCCACATCAGCAGTTTAGATTTGAAGAGTTGCTACAATTGCAAACTTTGTTTTCAGTTGGAAAAGTAGTTTCTCTTGCACTTTTTTAATGCTCCAATTTTCTTTTCATTGGTGCATTTTTTTTTTGGGTAATTTTTCACCTTAACCTGTTTTGTGAATTTATTTATGGGTTTATCCTCTTTTTAAAATTGTGACCATTTTAACTTGTTCTTCTTTACCAATTTATTTTTGCAGGCATGGAGTCACTCCATTTACACCACTTAAGGGACTTTTTATCCAAGGACCAGTTTTTATAAGTTTTTTCATGGCTGTGAGTTTTATGACTTCTGTTATCATCCTATAGTTTGGCTTCTCTTCTTTTGATCATTTCTTACTTTTATTTTGGTGCTTCATGCTTTTGTTAATGATGGAATCTAGATTTCTTATTTCATTACCTTTTAGCAATCACAGCATTTTTTTTCTAAATTTTTTGGCAGATCTCAAACATGGTTGAGAAAGTTCCATCATTTAAAGGCGGTGGAGCATATTGGTTTACTGATTTGACTACCCCAGATGCCATGTACATTTTTCCAGTTTTGACCGCTTTGACATTTCTGGCTACCGTAGAGGTAACTAATTTATTTTTTGCATGCCGTATCTTATAGCTCTTGGTGTCAAGTCAATCAAGTATTTTCCTTAATTCATCATTCCTGATTTTTCACATCCTTAATCATATTTTATTCTCTTTTTAGCTTTTCATCTTTTAATCTGCTTTTCTATAAAGACTGTTATGGAAGCAAGAAATGAATAGGAAGATAAGAATGCCACTAGCTTGCGTACAAACTTTTCTGAACGGGAAAATGCTAATAGGAAGCATGAAATTTCTTGCATGGAAGCAAGAAATTAATACGGGGCGGAGAACATCACTAGCTCGCCGCTTAGAGTTTAGTACATTGATAAATTATTGAGTTTTTTATTATTTTTATTATTTTTATTTTTATTTTTTTGTAGTACGTCTGTTGTTGAGGAACCCCTTAATTTTTCTGATGTTATTTATAATATTTGAGGCAGCTATGTGGTCATTATGTTCTCGTAATTGGTTGATCAATTATAATTTTTTTTCTTGTGCGTTGTTGTAAATTTTTTTCCATATTCTATGTGACCATTTTGATCTTGTTTTTATAGCATTGAAAAGTTATATAGCAGTTAATTTACTCAAAACTATTCTGTCATAAAAAATCTTGATTCAAAGTGTTCGTAAAAAGTCTGTCCCTTAATTCTCAAATCTCAACATTTAGCTTGATTTTATTTTGGGGAATAAACTTGAAATTTGTACATGCAGTTCTTATACCATTTAAATAACTACTTTTTCAAGCTAATTTACTATTAATTTTCTGCAATTTATATTTTATTGCTCTTTATAACTACGATCCTCTTTTGAATTCTTTTGTCCCCACATCGTTTCAGTTGAATATGCAAGAAGGTTTGGAAGGGAATCCTATGGCTAACACCATGAAGAAGTTTTCTAGAGGAATTGGTATCCTGACTATCCCATTTACAGCTAACTTTCCCAAGGTAATGTGGCCTTCAAGACCTCTCGACAATATTGCAATGGAAAAGATGAGTTCAAACTATGTTTTAGACTTAACGTGACATAACAGATGACATTTATTGGACTTCCTTTTTGTTGAATTTGTTTTGTTACGTTAGTATGCATTTTAATGTTTTAGGAACATATAAAAAATGTACTTTTTATGGTATTTCATAGGCCTCATCATGATTTTATTTTATTTTTTGTTACAAAAAAAAGCATAATAATTCACTTTTGACGCCTACACAGATGCTTAAGAGTTACATATGGGTATTCTAAGGGAAATCCTCTGAAACTGCACACATAGGCGAACAGTTGGATCAAAATTCTGATGTAATAATAAAAAAACATTAATAAACCAAATGAATTGGGAACCAAGTTGTCCCTGATCTTTTATGACCTGTTTATAGAGCAAGCCCAGGACACCATACTGTGCATTTATTTCTGGATGTCATGAATTTGGTCCAACCCAATTGTCAGCAATCTGCCTGAATACCTTGTAATAGTTGCTTGTTAGAAAGGGTTATAAGTTTTGATAGAATGGGATAATTTTCTTGTAGCTTGGCATATAATGACGATGGCTTTTTCAAGCATCATAGGCTTGAGAATACCTTCTCTAGATGTAAAGGTTAGTGCCCAGCAGCTATGAGCTTAAGTGATCATCTTTTGATGGTTAAAGAGGTGAACTTAGTCAATTTACCATTTTTTTTAGTATAAAATCAGTTAGGAGTGAGAAGTGTTGATTGATGAAGTAAAGAAATTTGCTGGTACATCTTGCTGCAATAGGAATTTGGGTTAAAAACTTGGATATAAAATGAAATTTCTCTGAGAATGGTTGGACTAGAGAGAAAATTCCCTCATAATCTAGTGCCTTTGTGTATACTGTGTAAAAAAATTCCTTTTTGAGTTCCAAAGACCACTTGTGCATAAAAGGGATAATTTTCTTAAGTTTAATGGAATTTCTCAGGATTTAAGCAACAAGTATTTGCATTGAAGATAAAAAAAAGATGATTCAGATGTGAAGCAGTAGTTCTCATAAATTCTAGTCTGTCTGAACGAAAAGCAAAATTTCTTTATGTACTAAGTCTATGAGACATAAATGAAAAATCTCTTTGGTTTAGAGCTCTTTCTTAGTATTTATCATCTTATTCCCTCCAAATATATATATATATATATATATATTTGCCCTCACTCCACCCAAAACTCACTACGTTTTGACTAGTTTCTAGTTTTAATTGATACAAGAGATTATAAATTAAAATAAAGTTGATAGTTAATACAGTACTTTAGTCGGAAGGAAAGAAAACTCATCTATATGCTGACTTTTTTTGCTCATAATATCTAAGTATATATAGGGCTGAGAACACTATTATGCATAAACACAAGATAACCAAGGATATGAAAGATCTTTCTTCAATAGAAATAGAAGTCTTAAAGGTTGTTAGGGTGCAGCTTTCTTAATCTTCTCAAGATAAAACTCAATAGTAATTCATCTAATTCATTAGCATCATCAACCTTGAAGGGATCTACCATAACTTTGTCATCCAGAATTTTATGAAGTTCCTCATTCTTTGATTGTGGTTCATTATTATCATTAAGTATTGAAGTGATGGAATCTTTTTTAGTTACAAGAACATAGTTTTGATGACTAAGATTTATTAGATGTTCATTTGATTGAATATGAGATTTGATGTTGACTGTAGTAGGCTTGTATTTAGTGATGTTAATCTTGATGCTAGCAGAGATGTTTTTAGTTCTTCTTTGACCTTGAATTATACAGTGATGATAATCTTCTTCACACCTAGGATTATTCTTTTGACAAAAATAATAGCTGGACCTAAAATTATAATTTTGGGAAAGAGACCGAGATGAATACCTATTAAACCTCTAACTACACTCTTGGAAAAGAGATTGAGATGTGCAACTTGAAAACATACATAGGGAACTTCAATTATATTGAGGATTTGGCACATTACTAATTAATTTAGAATATGTCTCATTTGGATAGGAATAGCCATTTTTATACGTCATTGGGATGAAAAATGTAAGGTCTCAAATTTTAGATATCTAGCATTTTGTAAATTGGGCTTCCGAATTTGAATGATTGTGGAGGCCTCATAACTGAATTTGGAAAGCTTTCTTCTGGAAAATTGTAGATCTTAGATCTTGCCAAGCTGAAGAAAATGAAGTATTCA